ACACGTCCCGTCTTCATCTGAACTCTTCAACCTTCTCTGTTCTTTTTGTTCCACTTCAACAGTTCTGGTCATGTCGTTCTACAGAACCATTTTCTGTTATTATGTCTGAACCACTCTGGCAGATGTGACCTCATGTTGAGCCCAGGTGCTGCTCTCTCTTCATGTCATTATGCCACCCCCCCACCCCCTCTTCTCTGTCAGTTTTATTTGTAACAAATTCACAAATGTACATTTTAAAAACACACAGAACTGAACAGAACATTGACATAAAAAATACACAACAAAATATGTGGAATTTCTAGTTAAATAACCCATAATGAAGTTTTCTTCTAGAAACTGGTCCAAACTCACCATGTTTTTGTAGCGCAGCCCTCTGGACGGTCCCAGGAACTCCGCCTCAGTCCCACAGGAAATGACGGGAAACACCAACAGGAAATGACTGCCATTGGACGTGGCCTGGCACGTCGGGTCCTGCAGGGTCACGGCCGACACCGAGGCCGACAAGGTCTGTAGCAGAGACATTAACGTCATCAAACAGTACCAGAGTCAACGGTTCCTGCGCTCCTGTCAGGTTCAAACTGTTAGAAACGGTTCTGGTTCATGTTCATCCTGAGAACATTCTGGAAGGTTCTATCTGTGTGTGTGAAGACCTGCAGAGGGGTCCGGTCCACGGCCACGCTGAGGCGTCCGTCCTCACACCTCACTGTGAAACTGTCCCCTCCTCCTCCTCCTCCTCCTCCTCCTCCTCTGCCACCATTCAGCCACTGTCTCAGTCTGCGCTCCTCGGCCCAGGGGGGTCTGACCACCGGGGGCTTCATCAGTGGGGGCAGGTCTGTGAGGAGCCACAAACAGACGTCACATCAACTCCACACGGGTCAGGTAGGTGCTGTGTGAAGTACCGAGTACCGATGTCCACTCTGAAGTACAAACACCACGATCACTGACCTGTCCCGCCCCCAGACAGCTGGATCACGAAGCGATTGGCCAGGTCGGCCTCAGTGTATGACGTCACCGTGGAGTAGCCGCTGTAACCGGCCCACACAGTGGGGTCAGGTACGGAGGACAGGTCAGGGTGAAGGGTGGAGGAAAAGGTCAGCTCAGGCTCCGGAGGGTGGGGGGGGGACACGCTGTTGGAGGACTGGGGAGACGTAGACAGTGTAGTCAAGGACTTCAAAAACAAAGACAGATCAGTCAGCCAATCAAACCACAGAAGGTCAGGTGGGTGTGGTTATTGGTACCAGACTGGTCTGCTGAAGAACTCCTCCTCCAATGACGTTTCCCTGACAACTGTTGAACTACGACAACCAGACAACCACTGCACAGAATCTATAATCTGTAATCTATAATCTGTAATCTGTAATCTGTAATCTGTAATCTGTAATCTGTATTCTGTAATCTATAATCTGTAATCTATGCTGCACAGATGACCGTAGAAGAAGACGACGGCAGTAAAACTTCTCTCTGACATCATAAACAACCTGCTGCCTGAAGATGGCGCTCTTACATGAACAAATACGTGACCTCTGACTCCATGAGCAGCAATGGCCCAGTGGACAGGAACTGAACTGCTGAAAATCAGTACCACCCTGTGGGGCTTATTAGTGGCCACCGGGGGCAGCAGAGAGACCATCACTTCCACCTGTAGAGAGCTAACAGACGGAAAGGAAAAAACATCTTCATTATGCCTTTAACCCCACTCTGAGGGAGGGAGGGAGGGAGGGAGGGAGGCACGGGTGAGTGCTCTCTCTCACCCACACAGTCCTGATCCTGCAGAATGGAGTCTGATCACATGGACCTCAGGACGGACGCCTGTGGCTGCAGCGGTCACACAGCCCTGCACTTCCTGTGGCTGCAGGTCAGAGGTCAAGTAGTTGTGAGAGAGGAACATAGACTGGAG